GCTGCAAAGGAGTGGATGGTCCACTCCTAAAACTCATGGCAAAGGAGCCAATCATTTGGAGTTTCTGGGGGTGCAAACAGAGAGAAATAATGATTTTGCTCTTAGGCTTTACTCAATCACGGCCTATTGGCAGCTTCCTTAGAGCCACTCCCTGCCCCCATGCCCATCAGATTAGTTTACAGTAGCAAAGATGGCTGTCGCCCTAGTTTTAAACATAGAGATGAAGTTCAGAAAAACTACAGCCCCCATCCAGCAGTAGAGTTTCTACTTTTTCGAATGCCAGTCTGAGGTTTGGCGGGATGCACCTGCCTGTAGTGCAATGGGAACTCTGGGGCTTGAAAGTTACATTCCTTCTTGTGGTCCTCTCTGTGTCACATAGCTTGCCGAAATACCGAGGAGGGCAGGAGAGGACAGCTGTGCTGGAGAGCTGCTCTTCCTGGGCTGAGTGTATTTTGGGAATCAGTGTTATTACTGGGGTGGAGGGTTGTGAATTAAACAAGAAAATGTGTCAAGGCTAGAGAGATCAGGAGGATGTGAGTAAAATGCTCCTTTTCTAGTTTGCTGTGGGATAGAACATTTTCAGAACATCAGAGTGAGTTTTATATGGGTTAATTTGCTTTTGAAGTCCATACCAGTGTTTTATGAGATAGTGATGAAATGTTTTATTATCTGCTTCTCTTAAGAAACTAGACAAGACCTCTCATATACAATGCCTAGCCTATCCAGCTGTTACTGGAGGTAATTGTTAAGATCAGGGAGTGGTACATGATTTGAATCAAGTTAGAACTAAATCTGTGTGACAGACGTTATAGTTTTATAGGACTGTATTTCCTTGATCTTGAGACACACCTGTAATTTACTAGCAGCTTTTAGGTAAAATTGTATGTGTGAGTGTTTGTGTGAGTGGTGTGTGTGTGTGTGTGTGTGTGTGTGTGTGTGTGTGTGTGTTGCATCCTAATTTCAGAAGTAGGAAGTAGCAAGACTTGACAGTTATTTGTGTCTCTTAGAGTTAGAATGGCGTTTCTATGCTATGGATACCAGGACTGCCCCATCTATGAGTATGTGCATTGTTGAGGTAGGCTTCTCCAAGGTCTTCCTGCAAGTCAGTGCTGTTTGAGGAGTTGTTTGTTAGATGGTCAACTAGACTTAGGCACACTAATAGCTGTTGAACAGAAGGAAGTTCCTATATGGGAATCCCACCCAGGGCCTTAAAATGATACTCTCCAGAAACAGCAAACAGCTAGCAGAAAACTTCTTATGAGCTATACCTGGATTTTAACATGAGACACCAAGAGTTAAATGACTTGCCTAAGGCCACCCAAGTAATGTAGCTAGTATGTGAAAACACTTTGTCAACTGTGTATACCATGCAAATGATTGTTGGTGGCTATTAGTGTCCCAGTCAGGATTAGAACACAGATAATCCAGACTAGAATGATTCTACATAACCACATTGCTGCATTTGTCATGCTTATAGTCCAGAGGGTTTACAAAAAATAATTTATTAGTCTCTAATTAGCCCTGTATACAAAGACTTGTTTCACTGTCTGAGATGTTGCAAAGTCAGGCAAATTTTAATGTCAATCTAATTAAATATTTATTCTTGCCTCCTTAAAAATAATCTTTCCTCTCACATTCCAACTTCAGAAAGTTTTTTAAAAATACATATCATTAACAAAAGCAAGTACAAACTTGGGTGTTGAAGTCTTCTTGGCATCTTATTTGTGAGGCTGCTGCATTCTACAAAGCAAGGTAGAAAGGGCAGAAAGGAGGCTGTGAGCAGGAGCAGGCATGCTGGACAACTTCAGGCTTATCTGCTGCTCTCCAATGTAACCTTTAAAAAAATATATTTTATTTATTATTTTTATTTTATGGGTATTTGTGTATTGCCTACATGTAGGTAAGTGCACCCGTGTCATGCAATGCAGAGGCTGCTGCAAAGCAAGGTAGAAAGGGCAGAAAGGAGGCTGTGAGCAGGAGCAGGCATGCTGGACAACTTCAGGCTTATCTGCTGCTCTCCAATGTAACCTTTAAAAAAATATATTTTATTTATTATTTATTATTTTTGGGTATTTGTGTATTGCCTACATGTAGGTAAGTGCACCCGTGTCATGCAATGCCTGCAGAGGACAGAAGAAGCTGTTGGATCCCCTAGAACTGGAGTTATGGACAGTCATTAGCCACCATGTGGGTGCTGGGATTCGAACCTGGGTCTTCTGTA